TACCTTTTATAGTGCTGTACCACCACTAGTATTCTGCATAGAAAAACCTCTCGACTAGTGCCGTTTGGAACCGGCGATAAACTGTAGACTGTAGGTCCCGTATAATTGGGGAAGATGCGTTTCACAAGTATGCGCGAGAGGTCGCCTACGCTCTCGGGAGAGAGTATGGCACTTGAAAAAGAATGAGACTAGTCCCGACGATACGATACGATTTACATTTTCAATTTTCAGGTAAAAAGCTGTGGTAGACCACAGTAGAAAACGTGTCAAGTTAATGTTGAAACACTGAGTGAAAATTATTTTATTCATTCGAAAAATCAAGCCGAATTTTTGATTCTCCAAAAACGGTGTGAATTAGGGTATAAATCACAGAGGAAAGCCAGTAAAAAATAACAAAAACTACCTAATGTAAACAAAAAAATTGTGAGAGTTCATGTAAGCACAGAAAAGTCTCTTGAAGAACAGACTGAAAATTTGAAAATGAAAAAACAATAGTCAGAATCCAGAATCTCCCTCATCGTTCCTCGGCAAATAAAAATGACGAGTAATTATATAATAAAACACAAGTAAACAATATGAGACTAAAAGTTCTACACCTATATGGCAACCAGGGGAAAGCTGGCCAAACATTAAAAAAGTGACTTAGTGTACAAAAAAGCAGCCCGAAATATAAATGGTATGGCCAGGATTACACGCAACCTTTTAACGTGCTATCCTCCAATAATGGAATAAACAGAATTAAATGCAATTATTCGGACGGATCCGAGCTCCTGAAAATCCCTAGCGCGAATCGTTTGGCAAAAGAAATGTTTAACTTTTCAAATTTAGAAAAAACACCCCGAAATCTAAATGGTTTGGTCAGAATCACACACAACGTTTTAACGTGCTGTCATCCAATAAGGCAATAAACAATAAATAGAAATAAGCATTAAAAAGTGCAATTATTCGGACGGATCCTAGCCCCTGAAAATCCCTATCACGAATAGTGAAGAAAAAAAGAGTGTTTAAATTTGGCAAAGACAGCCCGAAATCTAAATGATTGGGCCAGGATCACACGCAACGTTTCATCGTGCTATTCTCCAATATTGCAATGAACAGTAAATAGCAGTAAACAATAAAAAATGCAATAATTCGGACGGATCCCAGCCCCTGAAAATCCATACCACGAATCATTTAGCAAAAAAGATTTTGTTGAAATTTTAAATTTTTGGAAAAAACAGTCCGAAATCTAAATGGTTTGGCCAGGATAAGTGGCAACGCTTTTACGTACTAACCGTAATATAAACTATAAATAGCAATAAACAATAAAAAATACAATTATTCGGGCGAATCTTCGCCCCTGAAAATCACTAAAACGAATCGTTTAGCCAAAAATTATTTGCTTAAATTTTTATTAAGCATGTTATTTAGTCACCTCTGCGAAATGCATACCTACTTATGCATTATAATACATACATGTATTACATCTGGTTAAAAAGAAATTGAAAGAACAGCGAAAATCTAAATGGGTTGGCCAGGATCGCCAACGGTAAAACTAATGCTAAACTTATCGAAAGCTGCATTGTACCACCTGAAGACGAAGAGAAAAATCTGTTTTATTTCATAAACTTAGTCGAAAACCCACTGATTTGATTGGAAACAAAAATAAATAGGAAACTGAATGAAACTTTAAATGTTTCTCGAAAACTCAACTCTAATTAGTACCCGATTCTGCATTGTCTATCCATCAAAAAGCACACTACACGAACATACAACGAGAATCCACACAAAGCTGAAAATAAATGTGGATCCAACAGATACTTTACTAGAACACCTACAAACGCTAGTGAACTAAGGACTAAGATCTGTTTGTTTTATAAGCCAAGAATTTTAATTTTTTTAATTTTTTATAGCTAATTAATTTATACGAGTGTTAGGAATAGGAATTAATTTTAGAATAAGCTAGGCTAAGACTCATATGTACTAAACAATGGCAGAAAGACTGATTTGGTCGATGGCCTTTTTCTGTAGGAAATAAAGATTATTTATTTATATGTAAATGTGGATTACACTCAGCAATTAACAGGTAAGACGGTCGACCGTTCGTGCATAAATGGCACTAAATTGATACTGTCATCCCGTTTATTCCGAGGCAAGTGTCCGGTTCTCAATTCAATTATAGGAATGGAATGAGCACATAAGCAGGATTGACCATTGCATACTTGTGAGAAGCGCTCGCGACAAGTCCCCATTGGGACGAAGAGACGTTGGGCGTCTCAGGAAACGATGGAGCGACAGGCAGACAAGAATGAAGAAGAGAAGAAGATCCCGTTTATAAACAAAGAACCATCGACCGATTTACTCCCTTGTCCATAAAAGACTGAGAATAAATCTCCTGCGAAATTAAGGTGTTTATCATATAAACAACTCACCTAGCTACATAACTTACATAATTATAGAATCGTTTGCTCGGTGGCCCTTTGGGTGACTCCACCAGAATCAAAGTAAATAATTCGCAAAATATGCCATGATTTGCGAATGCTGCTTTTTGATTGTACTATTGAGAGCGACGCAAAATGCGCATTTTACTCAACTGCACGCTTTTTTTTTTAATTAATAACTTTCGATTTGGATCAAGTAGCAACCGAAACTTTCACACCCTATAGAAAACTCATGTGGTTGACAGCGCTTAAATTTCTACTTCAATCGCACTAAAGTCTGATTTTTGCCAACGGTTTGCAAAATGGGTCAAAAATTGGCATGGGAGATGCGATCGCAGCAGAACACCCCTATAAGCAGTCTACTGTGGCAACTACTGTTGGGTAATCCACTCAAACTTAAAAAAATGCCTAAATCGCAGATCCATATTCGGCCCAGCTCATGATTTGTAATCGCTTTCTTCTGCTCGCAGCATTAAAGCGACGGAAAACTCAAGGTTGATTTATTACTGTGGTAATTTGGGATTGTCGAACTTTTTAAGCGGTCTTCATCCAAAAGGATGAAAGCGTAAACTCCGAGACATGCTGTAGGACATTAGGAATACAGAATATCCTCCATCCTGTACCAGGGGGGATTTTCAGGTCTTTCTATCTCATTATAAGAAATACAAAAAACATTACAGTACCAGCCTGACGCTAAATTGAATAACATTTTACAGTAAAGTAACAGAATATCGTTAGTAATTTTAACTAATTGCCTATTATTTTGAGTATTCTCTAGCCGTTATCAAAGAACGCTGAAAACAGCTAATTAGCCAATATTTTTTTGTCTAAAGCTCTTCATATTGACATATGGCCGAGACCCATTCTCAGCTGAGCACCCTATATAAGAATTTAATAATCATCTTTATTAAATTGTAATAAGTACAACATTACATAGTATAATGTTTACCAATTATGAGATAAGTTTTTGAAATGTTTTGCTCTCCCAAAAGAAAGGATTTTTTTCCTCAAGAACTAATGAATGTTATAACGCTTTATAAATTATAGTTTTTGTACAACACGTTTTAATTGTGAATTGGTATTTGTAGTTTGTGTAAATTTTAAATCTGATGATGGCGCTGTTGTCTCGCCCAAACGTAATGAATTAAA